ATAGGAGTGATCATCAACACGAACTTGTTGGATCTGTAGCCAGCGTTAAGTAAGCCTCCTACAACCTTTTTCACCAGTAAGAAAACTTTCGACAAAGTTTAGGCTGGAAACTGATAACTGGAGCCGAGCTTCTCGTGAGTTTTAGCAGTTCCTTCGAAATTCGTCACCTTAAACAGAACTGTTTTATAATTTTCCTTACATCTTTATCTTCAACGTGTATGCCACCTTTTTTGGTTTTAGCAGCTCCTATAATAACTTTTCAAACAACTCATTTCTTTCAAGAACCATTAACACAACACTCCAAAAATTTCTGAGCAAAGATGAACATACAAAACTTCCTCTAGGTATGACGTTCTCCAGTCCCTCGATTCTACACTCGAGAAAGCACTCTCTAGATGGACAACGGTAAATCTCTCAAATGTTAATGCTGGAGAGTTTATCCTTCTGTACAAGTCTTTAAGGTCGCACAAAGATCCACAGTCTCCCATTCCAAGAAGTGCGACGGATCCTTCATTCAGTAACTTTACTGATAAATAAAATGACAGCTATTGCTATAAGGATTATGTTTGTTCTTTAGTATATTCTTCAATGAGAAGAAAGCCGCCGCATTCACCATCATTGGAGCCAGTCAACGAAGAGAAAGCAGATTCCCAGGTATCAGAAAAGCTCTTCACAACTAGCAATAAGGTGGTTCTTTATAACTACTACGCAATTTTAATACTAGACTGCTTTCAGGAATCAAACAGTGACGGGTTTGTCGTAGTCAAGCTCTAAAGGATCCATTTGACAGAAGACCATTACAATGCATGAATTACGTTAGCGCATAATCATTCTATGTGGTTTGAGAGAAAATGTCGTCTAGCTTTCCTGCGTAACAATAATAAGATGTGCATAAAAAACAAGTAGTACGGTGTTATTACGCAATCCTTACTGAGCATAGATAATTAATACTAAGCTTGAAGTCGGAAATTACGAAAACGTTTTATCTACGCTTATTTCTTTTAGCAAGACGGTATTTTCAAATTGCTTTGCAGAATTGGATAGGTAAATGTTCTGATACATTCTGCAAATGCCTTGAATTCTCTTTTCGTAAACTTTGTCTTGTTTGCAGAAGTGGACTTTTGGGCTAAAATTGAGCCGCTTATAACTACGGTGCCCAAGCTTAGAATGTCGCGTTAATTGCTCGACGGAACACGAAAATACGCTAATTTGCATGTTTTTCGTCTTTCTTCGTAGCATATGTTTAGCAGCTAAATATAGGTTTCATTAGCTAATTCACTGCTAGTGGTAGATATTTTTTCGATTGAGCTATCCTATAAGAAGTTACTCCTGAGTAACACACAAATGAGCGAGCGAGATATTGCTCTTATCGTCAACGTAAAATAACACGTATCATCAACTTTTTTTGCCTCATACCGTCAAAACA